CGTTCAAAACATTTACCACTTTGTTATTATTATTTGATCCACAAAATCACCGTCATTGGTTAAACATTTTTATATATAAATATATGTAAATTAGAGTAAAGCCTGAAGAAGATCTAATTGATAACAATATTGTTTGCTTATATGTCTTGTTCTAATATTATAAATGGGAATATTTAAAGACTTACTAGTTTCTTACTATCCAAGTGAAACTCAGAAAGATCTATTCTTAACGGTGCACAGATAGATAATTAGTCCTTGGAATTCATATATTCCGTTTAAGTCAGAAAGGATGTGATTATTATGGTTGGTAAACTATTGACTAGAAAATCAATGGTAAGTGCTTACGACAAAAACTGGCCAATACACATATCATCCACATTTTTATTATAATTCAGTTTTCATTATTTTATTGATATGAATATTAAATAGATCGTTTTTGAATCGTGTTCACATTCCACAATATTTACAGAAATAGTCTATTTTAACTAATGTAAAATGGTGTCTATAATCTGGATTGAAATAGCAAGCATAAAATTGGAGAAGACCATAAAACAATGCCTATCTCACGTGAAATTGAAGAGAAATGTGCAGTAGACATGCTTAGGTGGCATCACTCCATGTCTTCTGTCTACCATGTAATTATTTCGCAGGAAATTTTTATTGAATTCTATTAAACAATCAGTGGTATATCGGGATCTTACGAAAGGACTCTGATTGAAAGGGGTGCTGTGGCTCATTGTTCAAGGAACTCAACTCCCAACAGATGACCAACGGGTACGAACCAGACTCCACTAACTGAGGTTCCGGTAGCTAGGTAGTGTTGTTACCCCCTCCATCCTCACAGCCGGTGTAGCTCATTGCCAACTGCATGGAATTGCGATTGGTTGTTGAGCCACATTTCATCTATTTCTTACGAAAAAAAGTTGTCCTCAACATACATTCCAAAGGCCAAACCTCTATTGGTCATTGAAATTTCCAAACCTATACCCAGGTAACAGCTGTTTATATGACAGTGTCATTGTTGTTTACCAACAAACACACAAAATACATTCCACTTATAAATTAGAACACAGCAGAAAAATTTTCTTCATCTATCTGATTGAGTTGCATATGATTCACCCAGAATGAAGTGAGTTGGACGGTTTATGTTTAACTATTGCCTCCATTACTTAGAATGTTTTCTTCAGACCATATACACACTTCAGCTCATCCCTCAATCACCCTTTTTCCAATTAGATCACAGTTAGTACTATTCTTCTTAACTCTGTGACCTTCGCTAACGATTTAATCCGGATAAACACAATTCAATTCATAAAACAACGCTACCAGCGTTACATTAGGGTTTTAAACGTCCAAACACTAGGCGAAATCTGATAAGAGGCCTCATTAGCCAAAATTCTAGTAATTGACGACGAATGCATGTATGATCTATGTTCAAGACACGTACACTTAACTTTAACTAGTCGAAATCCACTTTAAAAGTATCAGGCGACTCAACAGCTAGTTATCATAGGCTAATAGGGTTTAAAGTAGGAAGCTTACGAAATACAAGTGGACAGTGGTTTGTGTTCAGTATGGTTAAACGAATCAGTAAAGGAAAAGAAACACTACGACACTCGTCAATACTTTCATACAGACTGCATTCCATACACGAAAAATCCTTTCCAATTACAAAAGCGCTTGGTAGGGGTCAAATAAACAGATGATTTTATTGCCCAATTCTCGAAAGTAGGTTAACAGGAAAAGTACTTTTGGATTATCTATAGAGTTCTAAGCATATAAGCCAAAAAGGATGGTTGCCTCTTGCAATTTCGTCCAGATAATTACCTGTCTGTGGTCCACATTGACTTCAAACATATGACATATGGTTTTATCAGACGACCGACAAAATCAGGCTAACAATGGATGTATACGTTTGCTTTTCTTTGTAAAAGACAATCAGCTGCAAAGCCCTTATGTTCCCAGCTTGTTGATGAAAACGACAAATTTATATTTAGCGAGCACTTAGTTGAACATTTATCTGAACTTCACAGAGATACTAATCCGGAAGCCTGGCAACATTTACCCTCCTACATAAACAGTAATGATAATAGATGATAACCTGGAACCAACAAATTGCTATTGTCTTCTCTCGACTGATCAGTTCAACATCTGTGGAATGTCTAGGCTTGCTCAACAGACAAGCTCTAAATATATTGAGTGGAATGATGGAGAACGATAAAAAATGTTGATAGCTTTACAAGATGGACAACTGGAACGATGAACAGAACAGTTCAACTGCACTACGGTTAAACATTTCCCAACCTTACGTTAAATATAAGGCAGATACCGATCCTCTAATTATAGTGAAAGTTGCAAAACATATCTCTACAACAAATCGGCACAAGGATTACTGGTTTTAATATTGCAGCGCTTACGAGTGATGGTAAGGAATTATGGCTGATTAACTGAGATGCCACTTAGTGTTTAGAGATCTGATATAGTTCCAAAAGATTAATGTAGGTCGTTGATCATCCCAGTCCATAAGGACTAATCTTCTTGTGATAATCACGGTATCAACCTAACCATTATAGTGCCTAAGATCTTATGGTCAGAAATCATAAGAAGGCTAAGTCGAGTTTCAAAAAAAAACTAGTGCCACAGAAGTATACGATGGTCTAATGATACGGTTTGCTGACTTCAGCACTCGACTTTCAGCCAGCAGGTTCCAGGGTGGAATCCCGCCACAACTACTTCAGCCTGGAAACATGGGTAGCGTCATCAAGGTTCATACAATAATTACGTTGCACTAACTATGGAGCATGAAAAATGAGTACCGGGTCACTAAGTTTAAACATAATGAAATTGTTACCCTTCAGCAGGTTTCTTAACTGAAAACAACTGCCACAGCCGGATACTTGCTATGTTTCTTGACCTGAAGGAGATATATAACTTCTTCAGGTAAGTGGTGTTGTGGCACTCCGTTCAAAAAAAGTGAAAAAGAAGCACGTTATTCTAATCAAAGTACTTCGCTTCCACTCAGACAGCTATGTAAGTGATTGCGGAAAGTTGTCAACTAAAGTACTGACAGCCAGTCATGTCTTACTCAACTACATTATGTATGTATTAAGGCAGGTAAATGTATTTGACTTCAGCGTTTCAGGAATCTACTTCCAGCTAAAGAAAAATCTAGTTGATGTACAGTAAGTAGATGACATAGTTCATGCAGAAAAGATGACAATAAAAAGCAGTTTTTTTAAATGAGCTTCAACTCCGTCGAGTGTAAGGTGATGTTACAGCATTATTTCACAGTATCCGAAGTTAAAAACAAGGTACCTAGGTCTGACATTTGTTACTGACGCAGCACCAACACACAAAAGGTGCACTTTGTATTATCACCAGTAAGATATCCCGTTACTCAACAGACGTTGCGCACTGTACAGCAATCCTAATTTACCACTACGAGACATGGTTAGTAGGAAGATGTGAAAAGATAAAAAGTTTTGACCATAAATATTTTCTCAGTTTAGACAGGGCAATACGCTGATGTCAACATTAAACGCAGCGTTAGTTATCCAAAAAAAATTAATCGACGAGGCCATGAATTTTAAGAGAATGGGGTGACCGGAGGGTTTCATGCGTGCCCAATAACACCATTCGTTGGCAGTCTTGGACGAAATAGGACTACGCTAGAAGAGAGAGAGAAATGATACTAACCTGTAATTCTAACTGCTAGCTAGAGACGTAAACAGTTCTGGAGTTCAACGGATGTTAGTAATCAGTCTCTGAAAAGTGAAGGTGACATAATGCGAACATTTAGTGGTACAGGCTAGCAATTTTTATTTCTGAAATTTGAAGCACTACTACTAAGCTACTTTAAATTGCTTCTTTTCCCAAACTTTACGCTTACCAGTTGATTTTTGCAATATTTGGAAATGTGGTAAAAAGAACCGATGCACTTCTGTGGGAAGTACTTCACTAGCTTTTGAGTCATTCACCAGAAGTGGATGCATTTGTACAGCTGCGATAAATTTTGAGTTGATAACATTCAAAAAATTACCCATTTAAACTTTGCCTGATCTAGTATTACCAAATTTCTGTTCTCTTTCTATGGACTGTTTTAAGGTATTCCTACTTGAGCAGATGAATTTCTGCAAGTTCTACATTGATTTCTCGTTGAAGTTTAGTGCCTAAATCGATCATAGGCAGACATTTTATAGGATGTCCCCAACGATTTTGAAGTTTTTTTGAAATTTCAAGTAACTAACTTGATCACGGTGCGTCGGTGGCATAGCGGTTAGGACGCTCGCCGACCATGCACATGGTCCGGAGTTCAATCCCCAGCCGGCGCACTCCTTTACCTCGCTAAGCCAGAAAAATGATTGTAAAGAGGAAAGATTGGGCATGAGGCTAGCAATCCCATCCTGTAAAACTTAAACACTGCTACAGAAACTTCAAGCCACTAGCTTGAGGCCCTATGTTCCACTGAGACCGTGAAGGATATGAAGAAAAATTTGATCACAGTAAACTAATCGATTATTTTTCTGTTGACATGAAAAACAACATAAACTTTTATCAAACACTTCTTTTTTAATCAGTACAATGGGTAGTAGGGAACGGAAAACACTTCACATCCAAGGTGAGAACCCCCCAATTTAATATACGGATACCACCACAAATAAGACCATACAGTTGCTCTAAGTATACATGATTATGGTAATCACATCAGATATTGTTTATCCAGGCAATTGTAAATAAAACAAACTGGTATTGTCGCGAATTTTCATGAATCAAATTGAATTTTTAAATTCCACTTGACTAAGATGCGATTAACATATCCTTTGGCTTAAGACGAATTTTAAAAATATCCCTTTATACTGCTTATAATACACACTACTTGCTAAATGCATCAGAAATCACAAATGAATAAGAAGTCAAGTGCGTCATAGTGTTTAAAATAATACTGCTACATATGCATAAATACAGTGGCGAAAGATGATTAGATACAACCTTTAAAAGTTCTACTTGGGTTCCATGGAAGTCAGATGAGGGACTGAAGCGGTAAATCCAGCCAGTCCAGAACCACCTCCGGCTGCTCTAGGGCCCAGCATCATTGTACGTTGTTGAACTGCTTCTTGTTCTTCAGTCTGAACCCGTTCTAACTCCAAGATTAGTGGAAGAAAACACAGAGTGGCTGTGCTGGCCAGGAACCATGTAACCGACCTGCTAATAGAATAGGCTGACTCAATACCACTAGTGGCTGCTTCAAAAAGAACCGAAGCGGCATGGCGAACTGGCTCAGGAAACATTTCAGTGAGACCAATAAGACGCTCAGCGACGCTTTCATCTTCAATATCGAAGTCCTCATTGTCATCAGGAACATCCCCTATTTCGTTCATGTTCTTTGTATAAGGGATGACTTCGGAGTGAGTTTTTGGGGTGCTTTTAATTGTTTCTTTTGACTGATGATGATTTGAAGGAGATAATACCGGCTTGGATTCGCTATCGCTTGTGGTTAAGTCGAGAGTTTCGGCTGAATAGTCAGGAGCTGGAAGTACGGTCAAATCAGATGATTCCTAAGAAACTTCGATTATAAGATCTAATAAAGAAAGAGGCAACTCATGTATCCCCTAATGTATTACCTTAAAGTCCATAGCATGCGGACGGTTGTAGCGTAATAAGTCCTACCACGCGCCCGATTCTTCTGACCGAATATCATTATAATGCTTAATTGTTAATCTATTGCTTTCTTCAACATCTTTTTATGTTGCAAAATTTCGACTCGTTATGGAACAGTGGATTTTACGGCCGAATTGCGTCGCACTATTAGTCTAAGCGGAAGGTCGTATTTTGTTTAACCTTTCAACATAGTAACTTATCTTAGAATATCGATTACATTGAGACAGACTCAGATGCAGATAACAGTTTGGTATGGAAGTTTTCAAACCTCTAGCAATCCTTTTTATGACTATCTGTTCATGTTAAATCCCTTCTTGAATGTGTAAGTTGAAGGTGGAAACACCATTACTTCTGAGCCTGCTAAAAAAGGTAATGGCTCGGTGGAAGAACCAGTAATCTGTCGGAACCTGAACTGTTTTGCCTTGTCTTCCGAGAATTTTAGGCTTGGTGGAGGGGAAAGGAAAAGACAAATCCAATGCACAGTCACTTCTTGGAATTTCAAACATCGTGACTAGATCACTCCGTGTAATTAGGAGTAAGTGCTTGAAACTGTAGTCATTCTTCACATAACAGACTGGCCATGTCAGGAATCATATGTGTGACCTTCCTTTAGGAACATTCTAGAATATCTGATCCCATTTTGAGATAAGGGTTGTCTACATGAGAGTATTTCTCTTGTTTTGGACTCAACGGAGACGAATATAATGAAGCAAACATTTCACCAGCAGTGCTAGGAGTGGCTCTGTCTACCACCCGTAGGAATTTGAAGCAGCGGTCTATCACTTCATCGTCGAAGTCTGTAGGTAATGTCTTGCTATGACACAGCCATTATATAAACTGAACGAAACGATATTCTCTCAGTGTCTGGTTGTGTATAGTCTGTGTAATACAGTATGCAATGGCTACTCAGATATGGCAGGTAATTCAGAAATTCGGGGTGGGAACTAAATGTTGTTATCTAGTAACAAAGTCCTGAATGGATCACAGCTGTCTAACTCCATTACCTATGGGAATTTCTTTGATCCAGTTAGTGGGTTGGCCATGATGCCAAAGTTTTGCAGTTTAAAGGGAGATCCTGTATGGGGCACTTTGTTGAAAGCTCCACTGTAATGTATGGAAACAACTTTGGTAGGTATTTTATCATCCGTAGACTTAATCAAGCTTCCCCCGCTATGAGAGGGCCTATCAGGCGCGAAACAACTCACTCTATCCCATGCTGTGCATCTGAAAGTAAGCCATTTTCTCCAAGTATTTCACGATGGCTTTCTTAATTATTCCACCCAGTGACTTCAATGGGGTGTTGATAGGACCATTAGAGTTGAAGTCCGAAAGACGGTGGGAAAGTTCACATAACGGATGAAATTTACGATCGCATTCTTCTCTCTGCACTGGGACACTCCATGTGACAGGGGTGTTCTAAATATATTGAATTGGCTACATCGTCTACCAGGTGCTTGAGAAGCCTACGATCGAGGTCACCAGATTTTTCCTGTGCCATATTTCCTTGGGTACTGAAATAAGACTTTCACGCTGATTTCCGTGCAAAGACCCTGTGAAAGTAAATGCCACTGCTTCAGCATTTTCTTGACATTGTTTAACTAGTCGTCGACAAGTTACTTGGAACCCAGATAGACATCTTGTACCTGAAACTCATTTGCAAAAATAGTTTCTGGATTTGGACCATTCCGTTTTGAGCCGGATGCACTTCAAGTTCCTTCCATGGCTGGCGAAATCCTGTAACAACTATATTTCTTACTGCACTTAACAGCGTTCTGCCTTTAGGAGACCCACATTTTAGTATTTCTGTTAACGCCTAATCAGTCTGCGAATCTTGCGGCTTATCTATAATTTCGACTTCTAATGACAGTTTATAGGATGTATAGTTATGTTAATCGAATGTAATTACGTTTGAATTCAATCCATGAACCCGGATTTATGGTCTTTACAACTTTTGACGCTTCAGAAATGACAGTGTTCAGGTCTAATTATGCACTTTGAAACACCCAATTTGGACTTCATATACCATTTCGCACTTTGTATTCATTAGACAGATTGTGTTTCGTTGGACATTTTTACATTTCTTGTTTCAAAACACATTTTTGGTAACTTCGAGCCCTCTAGATTTTCGCTCATCTTGTTCGTGATGTTTTAAGCCGGATATCAGCACGTATATCTGATATATATTGGTTAATGGACCAGTGAACTTGCAGTTCTTCAACAGTCTGTCATCAGCATAATTATATTTGGAACCATTTGGCTTTGTTTCGAATTTTGTTCGAGGGCTGGTAGTCTGTCTCCTCAAAAGGTTATCCAGACAGTGGCTGTGAAAAGATTTAAATGCGTAGTGCTCATGCACGATTGAGCTAGGGCTTAGGATCACAGCAAAATCGCTTCTTACTAGGGGCGGAAGATGTTGTATGAAGGTAGTATGCATTCAGCAATATCCAGGTATTCGCAATCTGTTACACATCTACCGCGAACATATGAGATGGCACTGTGTGATGCCATAATGGAAAGTCAACAAAATTGGGTTCTATCCCAACTAGTGACCAACTTCTTGTAGATGAAGATTCTTTTAGGCAGCAGTTACCACACGGTCATAGTGTTTTATGTTTTTTCTTTGAGAAAAGTTAAAGTGGAGTGCTGCGAGACCCCGTCTGTGTTGTTATTGGGCAGACTATACCAAAATGTGAAAACGTTTGTCTGGAGCAGAATGGGGCACTGATTAAGCTGAAGCACTAGGCGAAGAACGATAGTAAGCTCCAAAAGGGATCATTTACACGGTAATCTCACATATCCAACTAGTCACACTGCAACATGTGAAGAAGTCCTCATGATTAAAGGGAGGTGCTCATTGTTTTCTGCGAACAGAGCAGAAAGGCTAGTCTATATGACAAACCCTCAAGAGTCGAACTGCCTATAAGACAAACTCAAAACTCAGGAACCAATGTGTCATAAGTGTTCGGAGTGACAGTAGGTACTTTCAGGCAAATCCCGCCGGGAAAATCCTCGTAAACCTCGAAAAGTTGCATCGATTTATGTCGGAAAGAAAACTGAACGTGCACCTTAGTAGCTCTGAATGGTCAGTATCCCACTAGGGAATAAATGGTTGAAATATTTAGTTTACGATCTTCTATTGACAAAATAGGTTTGATTGGTAAAGGTTGTTCCCTTCTTCATTAACTGCTTGACTACTTAGGCAGAGTGCATTCTGCTCCAAAGCCAGCCGTGTTCGATATCTTCAACACCAAAAACTTCGCAGAACCAATCCAGTAGTCAAAATTCTTCTGGATTTTCACCACTGATCTGCTACACAGTTTAAATTAACCGGTTCTTCTTTACGCTGATGCAGTAGAGATGTAGAGGACGGCAGTGTTTGGAAGGCTTAGACAAGTTTCAAACGGACTAGAACACTAGTTTCTTCTCGTTCCGACAGAAAGGCTGGAAACAAGCGTGGGTGGTGTGGGGGAGTCTTGTGCGGTTTCACTTCTCACAAATGGATAGTCAGGAGTACTCACTCCAGAGATTTCTCTAAGGTTGCATACAAACACGCACACCACACTTGAATTGCACAACATTGCTGCTCCCCTATTGCTTAAAAGAGAAACCAGTTGTTAATGTCTAGGCTTATCTACACTGAACTTCACACTGTCCTTAAAAGACTTTCAGGAACTATGCGTAATAACCAACGCAAAAAGCAGAACACAAATTGGCGACTCAAGAACCATTTATTCTTGCACCAATACCGAGCCAACCATAAGCTTATTGCACACAAAGTCTAAGAACAAATGTCATAAGAATAAATCACAATACTCCTGATAGTTTTTCTCTCTTCCAACGAACAGCGAACGATTAAACAATGACTGCAGCATTGATGACTACCCCAAAATATAGAGTTGGGTTTGAGCAAACAACCATGAATTGGTCGTTCAATCTTCGCCTGCATTGACACCAGTATTCTTGAAAAGGTGTGAAAACGAGTGAAAAAATGTTGATCGCAGGCAGGAATAAACCGTACGATGGAAATTAGAGAAATCAAATACCATGAGCTCAAGGGTGACTCAACTCATTCTCAAAAGGTTGCAAATACCAAGCATCACCTCAATAAAGGGATTATGCTTTTAGGTCTGTATGGCTGTTGTCAGCCACGTGTCGTAAACCGTTAATGCCCAGCTCTTGCTACGCTCGGGCTCACGCTGTCGCTTGAAGTTTCTCAGGAACGCTTAGTAATAACGGACGCAAAACCAAAACACCGATTGGCCAATCTAGAGTTTTTATTGTAACACCAATATATAGCCAACTTTAAAATTAGGCTTTAACTAAGGTCTATGGAAAAATATTACAATAATAAATCACAATATTACTTCTGACGGTTTATTGCTGACTTCTTTCTGAACAGCGACCGATGAGACGATGACTGGTGTATGGATGTCTCCGCGAAAATATAGGGAAGTTGGTTTTAAGCAAACAACCATGAATTGATCGTTCAATCTTCAACTACATTGACAGCCGTCAACGTAGCAACCCACAGAGGATTATACATCAGAAAGCAGAGATTGAGGTACCTTAATTTCTTGTGGCCTCGAAGTCGCTGTGCCTGGAACTCTTTAGCAGCAGCTGTGGCTAATTCACTGTTTGTTAGAAGCCCTGATTTGGGCCTTGATAATCATGTGATGGCACTAGGGCTGTCTGAATGGTCAGTCCTTGACCATCGTAATACAAGCGAGCACACATCTAAACTGACTCCTCACCACTGCTTATTTTCTCTTCTCTTGGTCTTCTGACTACTCTACCTGTTCTTTCATTTACACTTTATTCGATAAACTTGTGTCTATTTGTATATGCTCTGAAGGTTTACATAGTCTCCACTAACTATATTTGTTATTCGCGGTAAAACTGAATGACTAAAGGGCGAAGCACATACTCAGTACGGCGCGTATTCTAAACGACATGCAAACAGTCTCGTCTTCACTAC